TGTTTGATTTTAAAATAAACACGTTCTTAAAAAGTAATTAAATCATACAAATTAAGAGATTGGGGGGGTTTAATTTTACTAATTTTAAAATTTAAATGTCTTAAAAAAATTAAATCACATAAATTTTAGGTCAAGACTTAATTCTATTAATTTTAAAAATGATATTATCCCAAAAATAAATTATACCATGACATTTGAGATGGAATAACTTAATTATAGTAGTTTCAAAATGTCTAAAAACCTAAAATGTAATTAACCCGTAGGGTGGGAGGTACCCTTCCCATCCATAAGGTGGCTTCATCCTTGATTGGAGCAGGTCTATCCCAAATAATGGGGATATGTTGTAATATTTTTTAAAACGAGACTCTTAAAATATTTTATAGTAAAGATTAATTTATCAAAATTTAAAATTATGAGGGATTTACTAGTTTTTTTTATTAAAATTCATCATGAAAAAATAATTAAAGATATTGTCAAAATCTTTATTTTTAACTTTCTCTACTATTTTTCGGAGAACTAAATAAAAAATTTATTTTTTTCTTCGAACGAAAATATTGTTAGAACATAAATGTTATATGTAGATAGATCTAAATGACATTTATGTGTGATAATCCTAAATTTTGAGACCAAGACGGATCCCATATTACACTTACAACCTAAATTGAAGTTAACTCTTTTCCATCCCAACGACAGGTTTATGCTTTAAGGTGAATCCAACAAAACTATTCCTTACTTCTTAAGCGTGGAGTCCAAACATTATTCCAATAATAATAGTTTTCAAAGTGTTGGTGGTTGGATCAAATGTTTGTTGATCATATGGACGGTGGCATCCGCCATCAGGGGATGTTCGGTTCGAACTCTAAACCTAATCGATGTTGATTGTAACAATAAGGTATATTATATTTTCATAGAGAAAATTTAATATCGAATATAAAATTATTAGGAGTAGCAAACATAAATCTCGAATTTAAACCGTTAAACAATGATATATTTTTCTTAGAAAAAGAGTTGATGAAGTGTAGTATATATGTCATGCATGCATTGCATGGGGAGCTTACTTGTATGAGGATAACCTATGGAGATAGATTAGGTTAGGGTTTGTTGAGCTGAAAACCCAAAAGCTATGGCGTTTTGTCTTTGGTTTGGTTTGGTTCTACCTGCACAATGCAGCTGTGACAAGCGAGAAAGGGGCCCCAATGCTAATCAACCTTCTCTTGCACTTAAAACACTTGATAGAATGTGTAGCTACACTTAAAAGACTTGGGTATAAATCTTTGACGTCTCAAAACTTCTACAAAACTTGTAAAACATATAAAGAGAATGTTTTCAGAGGAAAGATTTTAAATATCTTATATATAAAGAGAATGTTTTCAGAGGAAAGATTCACGTGATTTATTAGAATTGTAAAACCTCTCAACTAAGATCGGAAGAAGGGCTGAAACCAGATCACTTTCATTTAATTCTCTACTACATCACCATAGAGACAAAAGACATTAACGTCATTCAACGATTTTTTTCTTACCAACTACGACTCTCTATTCAAATCGAAAGTGATAAATTGTCTATATTGTTGATGTGATCCAATTATTCTCATCTACACCTTTATTATATACAAATTATAAATATAATCTATTTATTGTAATTTAATTATTTATAATCTATTTATTTTTAAAGTTTTAAAATTTCAATCATGATCGAAAGAGTATCACATAATCCAATCTCATATAATTCCCTTAATGGTTTTATCAATTGAACTTCAATTATTAAGTCAAAAGACTAAAGTGAGTAAATCTCAAATGTGCAAATAGAACAGGGACTGAAATCAGAATTAGACCACACTTAGAAACTAACCATGGTTAAATCAACTGCCCCTGTGAAAAAGCTTCCCATTTATAAACCTAACGAACACCGCAAACAAACTGCATAACTGAAAAAAAGAATGGCTTTCTACGCGGACGAAGAACGGGTCTGGAAATGCGCAAAGCATCCTTCGAAACGACGCCGCAGTGGAATCTGTCCGGTTTGCCTCCAACGTAAACTAGCATCTCTTTGCCCCGACTGCGCCCGCACTCGTCCCTGCGCGTGTACCGCAACCTCATCTTCTTCTTCATCCTCCTCGTACTCCTGCTTCTCAACCGCCGGTGGCGTCTCCGGTGTCGGCTCCGTCGGTCGAGTTTCGAATCTCATCGAGATCGAGTCTTCGTTCCGACGACCCAGATCCCTCGCAATTCCTTTTCTCCGTTTGAAACCGGAGAGTTTAACCGAAAAGAACGATTTATCGAAGAGTGATAATAAGAGCAAGACGCCGTCGTTCTGGTTAATGTTTAGAGGTAGTACTAATGCGAGCAAGCGATACGATAGCGAAGATCAAAGAAGAGAAGTCGAGAAAGAGAGCAAATCGGCGGCGGCAAATGAAAGGATGATGATGAGGAAGTCGAGTTCCGTGGCGGTGACGTCACATTCCGGCACCGGAGATTTAATTGAATATTGTTATGATTAATTTTGATTATAATTAGTCAAATTATATTGTATTCATTATAGTATGATTGTTCTTATAGTTATTCTTGTAAAAGTATATTCATTATAGAGCATAATAAATATATCCCGAAAGGATTTACAGATAATGATATTTAAGTTAAAATAAAACTTAAAAGTAACTTACACATAATAGATTAATATCAAAAATTCAAAATTTTATATAAGGGACACGAACTTTTAGAAAGTTATACTGAAAATTTTGGAATAAAAAGTTATAAAATTTCAAAGGACGTTAAACTAAATGATATATTATACATTTAGTATTTAAATTATCACTTTTGGTCTGTTTTAGAACCTAAAATTTAAATTTTTTCAAAAGCATACCTAAAGTTTAATTTTTGTTTCATTTTAGTACATATTGTTAAAAACTTAACGGACAGGCTGACATAGCATAACTCCGGTGGATGAACAAGCAATTCAAACAGTGGACCATGAGAGAATGATGAATTGACCATAGTTCAATTTCAGGCGCATCAGGCAGTTGACAACATAGGTCGAAGGATGAAGAAGTCGAAGGGTCCATCATTGATTTGAGGAGATTAAGGAATTTTTGGTGAAATGGAAGCCAAAATCACGTTCAAGAGGTCGAAAAGCTGTGGGTTGAAAAGTTTGGGCTTCATCGGCCGATAGAAGCGATGGTCAGAGACTGCAGACGCGACGACCTACAAGATCGTTCGTTAATTTTTTAACGAAGGTGTACTAAAATAAAACAAAAACTAAACGTTAGGTATGATATTGAAAAAAATGAAAGTTTAAGTACTAAAATAGACAAAACTAGTAATTTAAGTAATAAATACATAATTTGCCCTAAATTAAATTATTAATAAAAACATATTCATCCCAAATTAGGGGAAATTCTACAGCGCACGTCGCACACTGCAACACGCCACTAAAATCATGTACCGAAACATATCACAAACAAATTTGTTCTTATTGTCACGGGGCTAGACTTCTGCTAACTAATTCGTGCGACATTTAGTCAATTTCTAAGTTGAAAGAGCGCCTAAGTCAGCCTTCACCATGTCCTTGTGAGTCTCGGGCTCACCAAGCGACACAATAACCCGCTAGGGTTAGACCAATACAACGGAAACTAAACACCAATGGGGCTAATCCAAGCCACTAAGATTGAACAATTTTGGGAAGCAAAAGCACTGTCGAAACTCTTTAAGTCATAAAGACTTAACTCACTTTTGGGTGAATTGGCAATAAAATTTTGGTGAGCTTTTGCAGAAAATAGAAAATATTTGCACAACGATTTAGAGTGGTTCAACTTTCTCAACCAAAGTCTACGTCCACTACCTTAGCTATCCACACTAAGGATTTTCCACAAATTCACTAGTTTGTCTTTCTTTTGAGGACAAAGAGTAACCTTACAAATCCCTCAAGAATTATACCTCAAAATCTTGAGAACACTCTCTACCAAAGAGAATAATACAAATTTTGCAAACTTACAGAAAAACCTCACAAGGCAAGATATTTGCACAATTCTAGAACAAAGAAAGAACACTAAAAAATGAATACAATTGAGCACGAATGGTGTTCTTGAAAGCAAAATAAATATTGAATGGAAACAGGCTTGAAAATGCTCAAACTTGAGGTTTGATGCTTTCTCTTTGATTCTCTAGCTTTTCTTCTTAATTGTTGTTGATCAATGGCTCCTGAGCTTGTTTAAATACTCCTTGAATCACTTCAGAACATTGGGGATTATTGGAGAAGTCAATAGAGTCGTTATGGTGTAATTATCATTTAAAAATCTGTTGGGATCGTAGGTGCATCGGTACACTCTCAAGGGTGTATCGGTACATTGTGTACAAAATTCAAATATTTCGACTGTTATATAACCTAGTGTATCGGTACACTCCAAGTGCATCGGTACACTAATTGCATTCGATGTTTTTAGGAGCCAGGAGTGTATCGATGCATGGTTGTGCATCGGTACACAAAATAGATTCGATGTTGGGTGTGCATCGATACATCCCTTCCTAAAAATAATTTTTGGCTCGATTATGGTTCGAAATACTTTGTAAAAATTGTTTTAAAAATATTTTAAGTTTAAAACACAATTTTACACTTTAGTAAGGATTGATTTTGACCTTTGAAAAACTTGGAGTAATATTTTGATATTCGAATAATTTAATCGAATATACTTTAAAAACGATTATAAAATCTTAAAATTCAATAACACTTAATTTGTTATATTGAAACATCAAAATTTTTTCAACAATCTCTCCCTTTTTGATATAACAAAACATTTGAGTAATTTTAAGATTTTTTTTGAAAAATCATTTTTGAAATCAAATTTTGAAAATTACTCCCTCTTACTATATTCTCCCCCTTTTTGTTAAATAAAAAAGACTCTATAAAACATTTTAAACAAGGTTTTGTAAGAATATAGCCAATTGATATTTATATAGCTTAAGCTGATAAGATCACAATCAAGAGAAAGATTAGCCATTAGTCCATAAATCAATATTCATAAATAATATGCAATGGTAATTGGTCATATTTCAACTAAGATGTAAATGATGCAAAAGTCATCATAAATTAATCAAACCAAATTCAAACAATCAAAACCAAATATATATATAAACATCTAAGTTCAATCATCCAACATCCATAACAAACAAATCCAAAAACATCAAATTGTTTTAACAATAAGTTTTATCTCAACCTAAGAAAACAAAGCAAGAAAAAGGTCTAATCGTCCATCGGTGGATTAGGAGGTGATAAATGTGCCCATATATTGGCCACATCACGTGTAAGTGCGTCGACCTTCTCGTCCATAGCATCAAAATGATGATTCAACGCTTCGTTGTTAGCAGTTAGATGGAACTCGATGGATGCGAACCTCATGCCAAGATTCTCCATAAAAGATTGGAAGTATGAAGGCATCTGACTTTCTTGATGTTCCGGCTCGTCGTCAGGTACGTGATCATCAATATCGCGCATAAGTGCTTCAAGCTCTGGATCATCGTCCTCAGCCGGTTCCGGAGGAGCTCGTGAAGAGCTAGCTCCTGGAGTTTTCTCAGTGGATCGAACCCATTTATCCTTTTACCCAGACTATCCCGATTTCTTCAAGGTTGTGAAATTTATTTGGTTCTTGAGAGGGATGGGTACATCAAGCGAGACCCAAAGGTAAGTTTTGATAAACAAGTTGGTAAGAAGACAACCGTAAACTAAGGTTTCGACATATTTGGACGGGACATTGTTCACGGTTTCAACTAGCTCACTAAAAATGATTTGTGGCAAATTTATTTTCTTTTTATGTTGGATATAATATATCCACCATAAATCTAAAACTCTAAGGGGGTAGTACCTACCTCCCGATGGTCTAAACCACCAAGAGATGATCAAGTGAAGAAAACGCTCGTGATGAGTTCTTAAGGTACTTGCACTAGCTTTAGCTTTATAAGGTGTTATCACAATCTCTTTTTCATTATCTAAACCTATGTTATCTAGTCCAAAGATGGTAGCGATTGTGTCGAAGTCAATATAAACGAATTGACCTAGGAGATAGGATCGAATTCCTATGGTTTCGGTACGAGCTTCGTTTTGGACACACACCGCATTGGAATAGAAAATGCGGACTAGTTGGTGATAAACGATAGGTTTGAGGTGAAATAGTTTATCAAATTTCCACGATCGAAGGGTAGGAAGATATTCAAATTTTATATCGACCATGGCTTGGATTGAGGGGATATGCTATTCCCAGATTTTATATGACTCAAATAAATTATGGTACCTATGGTAGAGATTATCTCTATGACCAGGTGGGTTAAAAAAGGAATTAAGAATGGTCATATCTGGTTCATTTGGATTTGGATTTTGAGGTTGATGTGGAATAGGAAGTCGGTTTTGGTTTGAATGACTCGATGACGACCTAGGGCATTTTGGATTAGACATGGTAAAAAAGTCGGAAAGGGTACGGTTACCTACAAATTTGAAACACATGTATTCAATATAATAAATCCCAAAACTCAATACGAGTCGTCAATATTCAAGGTTCTCTAAAATAATCCTAATGGGCAAATTTGAAAACTATCTTTGAAAACAATGTTTGAAAATCAATACATAGTTTTCAAAAACAACATAATTAAATCAAAAACATCAAACTTTAAAATCAAAACATTTTTTTATTTCAAAATTATAAAAAAGTTGACAAATTTTGTGTTTTTGATGAAATTAGTTGTAGAATCTAGTTTAGAAACATAATATGAGTAATGCCCAATATCTAATTCAACCTATAACTAATTAAAACTAGTCCTAAGTTCAAAATCAATAAAATAGTGGATTTAGAAAAATACCTTGAAAATTTTTGGATTTGAGTGAAAAATAGATGTTGTTTGCACGAATTTGTTTATCGTAGCAGGTTTAGGAATTGAAGTACGAATGAAATCCGACTAAAATTCATTGGTTTGAAGCAAAGTGGAGATTTGGGTGAGTTTGTGAGAAAATGGCGCAAGTATGTAGTTTTAGGGGTTTTGACAAAATGAGGAATTTTTAGGGATTTAAGCCTAAAACCTGATGAGTTTATCGGTACACTCTTGAGTGTATCGGTACACTCTTGAGTGTATCGATGCATATTCAAGGAATGCATCGGTACACTTTCATAGTGTATCGAAAGTGTATCGATGCACTTTGCACAAAAATGTTAAAAACTGTTTTTAAACATTCAAAATGCTAAATTAATCAGCTCTAGTAACAACTCATAGATTGAAAATTAACTATGTTCAAACAATCAAATCTACTTTAAATTTCAGGCATCTGACAACATAGATCAAATGATGAAGCAGTCGAAGGATCCATCATTGATTTGGGGAGATTAAGGCATTTTTCGGTGAAATGGAAGACAAAATCACGTTTAAGAGGTCGAAAATGTGTGGGTTGAAAAGTTTGGGCTTCATTGGCCGATAGATGAGATAGTCAGTGACTGCAGACGTGGCGACCAACAAGCCCGTTCGT